CTTTCCTGCTCAATCGAACTCAGTTTCCAGACGGGGCCTCTTCAGCGCCTAGCTGACTCACCACTATGTTTATTAGACGCCCGCTTGTTGTTTTGTGCGTCTGCTAGAGAAGCGCCTACCGTTTGCGTCGCTAGAGACCCTCCCTTTCTTTTGGTTGGCTTTCAAGCGATTGGTGTCGCCCTTGGAGCCTATTTCACCCTTTAACTGCATGCATTCAGCTCATCTCAATATGTCCTTTCCGGAAGCCCACTTGGTTCCCACTCTTACTTAATCAAGATTTTCAGCGCATTTGCCAGCAATCGACTTTTCTCAATTCATAGTCTGTATTTTAACGATGTGTGCTCGACGCTCCTTTGTCTGACTGAAGGGTGGCTAAACACTGTTATCACGGCTTACTAGAAGTCCTGGCCTCGGAGGTTTCACTATGGCGGAAGAACTCGGTCCTGCGGATTATGAGCCCAGTCGAAATTGCTCCTTCTTAATCCCACCTTGTGATGGCTCTTTGATGTCACGTCCCCGTAAGTAACGTCCGTTTCGCGTCATTGGCGTCTGTTACGTTTGAGAGAAGGGGCGAAAGGCCTAACCGTCGTGCTCACTGTCCCTGTCAGTAGGGCTGATCCCGTGCAGTCTTACCCATTTGTAATATATCTGGCGCGCTTTGATTCATCGTAACGCCTTAAACGTTCTGGTCGTAAAGGTTATCAGCCAGCGGTAGAATCCGTTCCTTCGGATCGACTGTCGGGCTGCAATTACTGCTGAGTCGCAGAACAGGCCTCACCTGGACGTCCGAGTACAAGGCCTTCTTGGGCGCCGACGACGTACCAGAAATCCCTTGTGTTATTCCAGACTGGCTATTGTGTCCTGTCATCTGCATCCGCCCTCTTCCATTTGACCAGCATAATCTTGCACTAGGGTTTTGTATGGACTCTATCGAGACTTCGGGCGGTGCGCAAATTCGCTACAGTCAAGCCAGCGCACATCCTATTCTGGCAGGAAAGAACGGCCGGGCTCCTTTTGGAGGTAGCGCACGAAGACTATATATTTTCTTTAAAATACCGGAAAATCGAAGCTGCGAGAGAAGAGATCCATTGCCCCAGACATTCTTGGAGAAACGGTACATTCATACGACATTAATAAGGTATTCCTCACGACTTATAATAAGGTATAAATAATAAGCTATTCTTCTCACGACTTGTAGGGTAATGCGTCTGTCTGTAGTTCTATAGATCTCAGCTAGCCTATTCGCATTGTTAAATTAACCTAGTTTCATTTTTCTCGTAAACAGGCCATCCGAACTGCGGCGTCTGGCTAAACTGCAGTGGTCACGCTAGGGCCAAAGGTTGCCGTGCATCGGTAAATAAACTGGCAACCACGGGATTGTTGGCTGCCATCTAGTCTTTACACTGATTTGAATGCACTTTCCGAGTTTCTACTGCCCAGCTCTGAAAATTGGTCTGCTTTCGATAATCTGGTCAAGGCATACTTCGTAAACGGGGAACTTATAGGCCAAGGTCCATGCCCAGCTAAGAAATGAACTACGTAATTACATTAAAAACCATAAGAAGCTGGTACTTCATCCTTAAAGGAGGGGATGGAATTATTTCGGCTGTGACGCGTTCTCATTCTTTGGGATTACTAAGTGCAGAAGAGGAGGGTTCAAACCCCGCAACATTCTGTTTATTGTCCTGGGCTTTCGGACTCGTGCAGGTATCAATCGTCAGCGACAGAACAAGGTCAGTTATAGGTTGTGCAAGCCAATCATCGACCTACGGCGCAAGACTGGAGGTGACTGCGCAGGGCTCTGTACGCCGGCGCCCGATCGATAAATCGATTGGCCGAGTTCTCATCTGAGGCCCAGGCTTCAACCGATTCTCGGCCTGTCTTGTTTCCGGCGTGGGCGACTATTTTGGTGGCTGCTAAGTTAAACTTGTGAACCATTTCGTAGGCGCGGGCGGTCACTTTTGATTATGTGTCGCCTCATCTCACAGCCAGCTTATGTTCGTGTATGCGCGATCCGAGTACGAGTCCAGTCTGGCCTGTGTAGTAACAAGGACAGTTTTAACACGGGATGCGATACATAACTACAGATTGCTCTTCAGGCTTTAACAAGTCTTAAATTTTCATGACCCTATTACGCATGGTGGCTTTGAGGCGGCGTGCACTTCCAACACCTAGCTCCGCAGCAGTGCGCTCGGTCGCTTCTGAAACGCCCTTGATGTATGCAGAGAACGCCATATCGTCGGTGATGTTGTTGTTTGAGTCCTCTGGGGGCGACCGCGTAGGCAGCGACTTATGAATGCCCTCGGATAGCCATTTTGCACAAACTGGTTGCGGAGATAATGGGCCTCCCGTGCTCTGTCCTCCGATTTGCTGCAGTGAGTTTGGATCCGCTTGAAGAGCGTCTTCGCACAGCTTCGTTTTTTAACCACCGGCCAAAGGTTCGGGTGCTGCGTAAGGATACGATGAGGCGTAAGGGTACTTCTGGTTTGTGCATCTATGTGGGTCGTAGAGACGCGCCATTGCAGTATCAGTGTCATTTGCAGCTAGTGCTTCTCTTCTCGTAAGGACTCCTCAACTTGCCGATCATCTTATAAATGGTTTTCGAGTTTTTTGAACTCGCCGGCAGTCAATGGCGCACAAGACTCCTTGTCCATCAATTGATATCCCAGCTTTGCACATTACTCGGCCTCATCCATAACAACCGTCGAGCGCCCCTCGTTAGTGGGCAGAGTGAAAATATCCTTTATCTCCCGTATTCTTAGAAGTTCTCGGCCTTGCAATCCAGAAATCGTCATCTGCCTTCGTGCTGGAGGAGCAAAGACGACACTTGTTGCCTCATGGCATTTTTGCACTCCTTCTGTGTCTTGCACCTCTGAATAGCCGATTCAAAGGATGCTATGAAGTCTTCTGTTTGAGCATCTCTTGTGCTGAAGTTTGCACCATAGTATAGAACGGCCAGCTGTGGCTGGGTGAGACGATGTGAAGACAAGTTGTGAATCAGGTTCCCGTCAGAGGTGGTTTGTTATGGTGGACTTGTTTTCTTGGATTTCTTAAGCGATTTGGCGTCACGTAACTCCCAGTGATCCTGGACACGATGGCCGCCTTGAGGATTGAGAGCTCATGTGCGGTAAGGCCGACTGGCAAGCTGACATGTGTTATTCTTTTGTTCTGTGGTATTTGTGAATACGTGCGCAGCTGTCTTGTATCAACACTCTGGTCATTCTCTTCCTGAAATCTGCCATCGCCTCTTTACTGCCAGCTGATGTTCGTGAATGCAGGTG